CCTCACCATGCCCTAGTTGTTCAAAAGGTGGATAACGGTATCCTGTGGATAATCATCAGGGAAGGGAAGGTACGCCCCTGCCGTGAAAAGAATGACACATAAAATGAAGATGATTTAAACTAACGGCACTTCGAAGTTAAATTTATTCATGTACAAGTCCCTATGTACAAGGTTGTGTGCGTTAACTACTTTTTGTACAGATTAATAAACGAACAGGAGTGTTTTTATTTTTAACTCGGTAAAACACGAACTGCAAGTTTTGATGAACACTTTTAAACACTCGCCGTAGACCTAGTCATTTTCGTATGAGAGGTTCAAACACTCACTAAGCATTACTTTGTTTTTTCAAAAACTGATTCAAAACGAGTAATAACACTAACCAAGGTAAACGTCCCGTACGTTGGATGATTATAGGATGGTTCAGGAAGGGTAAAAGGCCTTCTGTCAAAGGTGAGGTAGCCTGCGCAGCAAGCGTTTCCCTGCAGTTTCGGAGCAAAGAACGAGGAACAAGATTCAGAGACCGCGAGACCCTTTCCTTGGTCTTTTTTTGCTCCAAAACCAAACGGAAACGCTTGCTACGCAATCTAAAGTTCAGTGAGGTTTAGATTGCATTATTACTGCAGGAAACGGAGTAAGCGTTATGAGGCAGATTAGCAAAGACAACGCTACGGCAGTGTAAAGCCTCGTGCAAACGGACGCAACATTATTGGCCAAAAACTCCCAACATTGTTGGATTTTACATGTTCGTTTGCGTTTGCGTTTGCACACCCCGTTGCGTGTTGTTGGGAGTTTTTGCGTAAAGTTTGAAACCGGTCAAACGTTTAGCTTCGTACAAACGAACGCAGCAACTCCCAACATTGTTGGACCAACAATGTTGGGAGTTGTTGCGTCCCTTTGAACGTAGCCTTAGGGCAGTGAAGATGGCGTGCGCGACCCAAAAAGCCGGCTTGACTAGTTGCAAAGCGGCGAAATGTGCACCGGAAGTCGCGTTCAGTCATTTCCGTGCGTTATATCGTCGTTAACTGACTTTCCTGTCCTGTTGCTAAATCACTCTATTATCCTCCTTTAAAAGTTATTTAAGAGAGAACGCCGGACAGTTTGTCGACTTGTAGCACCCTCCCAGATAATGTACATCCGTATTCTCCTGCCAGACGCATCTCCTTTGCATTAGGAATTAACGCCAGATGTATGTTGGAAAGTAAAAACAATATTTCAATCTCCATATAGAACAGCGACTCCCATATCACATCGACTTGTTGCCATGGAGCTTACTGAAGTCCACTCTTGTAGCAATGGATCATATCTCTCAAAAGAGTCCAACAAAGAAAAACCATCGTAACCACCAACCGCATAAAGCTTGCCGCCCATGACTGCCGTGCCTACATAGCACCGGTTTGACTTCATTTCTGCAATGCTCATCCACTGATCATTACATGAGCTGTAACACTCCACAGATGACAAGTGTTGACTTCCATCGTAGCCTCCGACAGCAAATAGTTGGCTATCAAGCACTACTATTCCAGCACCTGTATTGAAAAGAAATACTGATCAACTACGTGGTAAAAGACTAGACTTGCTGTCACTGCATACATACACATGGCTGAACACTTTTTTCCTTCTGAGAGAACTTTCTTTTCTTACCAAAAGAGCTTGGGTTGCTTTTATTTCTTTATTTGTAATTCACTTTATTTAACTTAAGCACTTTAAATTACAAGAACACAAACACTAATAATAGGTTACTTAATAAACGTTACAACCACGGTTAAAACACAGTCAAAAATTACATGAGATCATTTTTGGTTTTCACAGCTGTATTGTTATATAACAGAGAGAAAAATACATGGCAGGGAGAATGAGATAAAATATTTTGTATGAAATCCCACTTTCTTCTGTATTTATCTTGTTCGCCCGCTTTAGTTGTGATGAGAGATATAAAGTCATCGTACTGAAATTTGTTTTTAGCAACGACATTAGTGTATGGGAAGTACTTCCTATAATTATGACATGGTTTAGGTTTAAACAGTGACAAGAAGAGTGAAATGTGCAATTATATAAAACATCTAAATTTGAAAGTTGAAGGTTTTTCTCTTTGTGGCAACTGAACCAGTCTTGGAAATCTACCCAGAAAGAGCTGGCTTGCGTACATTTTATAAACAAGTGCCAAATAGGGCATCGGAAGGGCAAAATGGGCAATTCAATTTGAAGATTCGAGTTTCTTCATAGCCTGTGTACAGACGTCCACCTTCCTCAAGAAAAATCGGGAGAGGAGACGACGTCTCCTCTCCCGATTTTTCCTGAGGGAACGGGGACGTCTGTACACAGGCTAGTTTCTTCATTTTATATACTAAGCTATTCGTGGGCAGAATTCGATTAACAAGAACGCTCTTACAGCGGCGATAAGTCTCGCTTGCTTGGAGATTAGATCGAGAAATGAGGAGGCGATTAATTCTACACGAAACAGGATTTACTCGCTAAAGGTTTTTCACTTCCTACTTGATCGACGGTCGTGTAATCTTCAGGGTATTTACCTTTTTTTGTTTCTGAATTGATTTAGTACGCGTGTTAGCGACGAACGGAAATACGTCTGCGGTCGCAGGTTATACGCGTGTATAAACACACGAAAATTCAAGGGCCTCTATTCCAGAGAAATTACATCATTGCCAGAGATAAAAAAAAGTGATTTACATGGCAAGTCATCTCAATCATCGCCGAAAATAAATTGCATCCTCATCACAAGTCCCATTTACATACAGTGAAAGTTTACAACACTCGAACATCGCAGTTTTGCTAATTAAGATTCTTCTTTTTTTTTGGACCACTGTAGTGTTCACTTGTTCTAAAGTAATCAACACTTTCAAGCGATAGAATTCGTGGACCGACCTGTTCTGGGAAAGCTCTAAATTTAATCTTTCCTGAGCTTTCTTCGCAAACATGCGTAGCTTCGGTCACGCAAAGATTCTTATTCCCAGTTTCCACGGTCTCCGCTAGAACGCCTGGGAGCATGACTCCCTTTTTGTATCCTAAACAAGAAGAAAAACGGCTTACAGATTATTAGTCTAGCTGCTTACACAAGCGAGACTAATATCTTGAATTGAAACTTATTCTTCAGCAAAACGAGGTGGCATTTCCATAAAACTACAGACAAAAATGACCTTTGAAAGGGCTAACGTTGTGATAATATCTATACTTCCGTAGACTGAGATTTCCCTTTGAGGCCAAAAGTTTAAAGTTTTTTCTAACTTCGTGAACTTTTCGAGGAAGTTTCCCCGGTCCGATAGCTAATCATCGTTCGAGAAATACGTGCCTAAAGCGTAGACAGGCTCATCTTTTATCTGAAGATCTCAAACTCCGTCCTTTCTGTGTTTCATTGAGCCAAGCCATAACATTTCGGATTTTGGCAGGGTTGTCACTAAGATTTCAAGTTGCCGGGTAAACACAACAAGTAGGCGGGGAATCAAACGGCTAGGGATTTCTTTTGGTTCTATTTTTCTTCTATTTTCCAATAAAAGTAGCCGGGGAAAATTCCCGGCCCCTGGCTCTTAATGACAACCCTGGGATTTTGGTAAGTTTATTTTCAGCTCTGCGCATCTTTCTAATCGGGAAAGAAATGCAAAAAGATTACTTATAGGGGTGTAAAGATTCATATTCCTTGCGATTCAATTCGATTTCGATTATTGTTTTTCGATTTCGATTATTTCGATTCGATTATGTAAATGTTTCTTAATTGTTATACCATAACGTGTAATGTTAACAACATGCAACCCTAAACCCTCAATTTGAGAATAGTAACAGGGACAGGAGGATTCACAGTCGCTTGGTTAATCGCCATGTTTGAGATCCTGGCACAGATAGTTTGCCTTATTTGGAAATTCTCAAGGGTAGTTGAAGGACAGCATATTTACCAGGCAACACAAAATGGTGCACGAACTGCTATTGTCTTTGCTCGTCAATCAAAAACGCACATTTTAAAGAGTTCTGGATTCTGATTTTACAAGATAATAACTCACTGAGGGCACCCTGGAAAAGGTATGCAAAAATCGAAGCAAAATCGAAACGTGGAAGCAAAGAATCGTGAATCGAACAGAACGATTAATCGCGGTGGCCTAGGCAACGGGACGAATGGGAGAAAGCTCAAGCATCCGACACAGACAGGCATTTGAGGGGGAAGGGGACGGGGAAATTATTAAGCACACAAGATCGTCAAACAATACCGCCATTGCGCCGAGGCGTCTCCTTCTCCCCTTCCTCGCGCGCACTGATTTCACGTTCCCCTTTCCCTTTAACCCTTTGGTGACGACCGGCAAGTAGCGAAAAAACCGCATTTTTCACCAATTCCTCTTCTTTGGACTGGTTTTCGGCTAATTAGCATAAGAATGGCTGAAAATGAGTTTTGCACTAAAAAGGCATATTTTTTGCTACTAATCTGACGTAATTAAACAGCTTTTTTGTTTTTCATACATGCGCACAAGCCAAAATCTGGACTTGCTTTTTTTCCCCTTTGCCTTTCTTCTTTAATAGCAGTTTTGTTGCCCACTTTATCTTGCATGGAATAGTGGCGGGCCAACCTTTTAGGAAAGGGACAAATTTAATCTTCAAAGAGTAGAAGGTAAACAGCGAATTGGCAGTGGATTTTTCTCCAAAATGTTACCTTTTTTGCGAGTGTAACTCTGTTAGGATTGGTCAGAATATCCAAAACGAGGTATCGCTGGAAAGATCTATCTTTGCTCACCAATTTGTTAACTTCAACTGAAAGCTGAATGGTTCCACGAAGGAAAATATGCCACGTTCCATATGGAACGAGAACGACGAAAGAAGTATCGCGTACCAGGCAAGCTTCAGCTCTACGGCAGAAAATGAAACTTGAGCCCAAAGTAAAAAAATGGTGTCAAGTATAGAGTACGGTCGTTGTCTTTTCGCCTTGTACAGCACATGGAGAAGTTACCTGTAGTTCAAGTAACAGTAAGACGGCAGTCATTTCTGCTTGTTTCTGGAGTGAAAACTACGATTTTATATTAAAACGGCTTAAAACTCCTAAGTATAAGCGCTATAGAAACATTATGTTATGCTATGTAATAAAGAATCGACTAAAGAGAAAAGTTTTCAAGCGGAAAGCGTTTTACGACGTACGCCAACTCTTTTGCATCTACTGGTAACAGTCAAAGGATTAGGGTTTTCGTGAGCCTAAAAAAAACTAATACCAACAGCTGCAAAGTTACAATTGTACAAAGGGGCCATCCTTTGAAATTAAACCTACTGTCAGCTTATCTGGGATGACTCTTGTAGAGAAAGTGAAAGGAGGAAAATGGAGCGCATTCAGAAAGCGAGCTTAAGGCGATTTTTGAAGACAAACAATACGGATACAAGAAACTAGTAGCTTAAGTCAATTATATACAACAGACTAATAGAGGAGAGTTTTAATCTCCTGCACAAAGAAAAATCTCCATCTACAGAAAGTCTGTGATTTATTCCAACCTGGCTCCTCTTCCTACGACGTACGAAAGACTGAGTTCATTCTTTCTCATTTCCATTTGTCACCTATTGTGGCCTAATACTAAGTCTACTTTTTTAGGGTTAGGAAATTTATCAATGTTTTTAAGTTGTCCTCAATTAGCAAAGGGGAATTTTCTTCCAGCTTTTGTCGACCGCCACGTTCATACAGTTTCATCATAAAGAGAGATAGAGCTCAAACTGCGGGTTAAAAAAATTGGAATCCCCTGCAGTGCTGAGAATTGTTTTGATGCAAATACTAGTTACCCTGGTATTCATACCTGATCTTCTGGTACTCATAGGAGCTAAGCTAGTCCAGCGGCCAGTCCTAGAATCAAGCCGTTCAATACTGTTTAAAATACGGTTTCCATCATATCCACCCACAGAGTACAGTACGCCATCAAGGTTTGTTAGGCCAGCACCTTCTCTTGAAGTCTGCATCTCACTGACAAGAGTCCATGTGTCGATTGTTGGGTCATAGCACTCCACGCTAGTATGCCTTGTTGTACCGTCAAATCCACCAGCTACATAAATTTTCCCTGTTTTCCAATGAAGAGAAATACTTTAGACCTGTTATAATAATAATAAAGCATCTCGCAGACAAGATAGCTCAGAAAGACACCGAGCCTTATCATGTTGTAATCACTTGGCTCAGGACACAGATCTCGTTTGAACTCTTAAGATCGGTACATGCATGCGTCAGAGGTTCGCGAACGCCGTTTCGTAGCAAAATAGAGCAATCATTAGACTGTAAAATAAATGTCGCTAGTGCGGATATCTGAAATACGTGTCTATATGCTTTTATAGTTAGGGCTTTTTATGGACACTGGTTTAGCCGTCATTAGTATAATTCGATTGCTTGATCTTAATATCTCTGCATAATGGAATTCTTAATTTTATAGAATTTTGAACTTTTATTATTAATTATATCTATTTCCTCTTCTTTTATGTAAGGTTAAGTTACTTCCATTTTTTAGAATTTGTAAATGAATAGTTTTTTCTTTCTTCACTTATTATATATAGGATTGTTTTTGTTCTCTAATGAAGGCCGAGGGATTTCTTTTGTAACGGATGGAATTGTAGATAGTGTTTTGATGAATTAATTAGATTTCTTGTAACAGCAGGTTGATTGTAAATAGGATTTTAATTGAGGTTTTGTAATAACGATTCTTTTCTTATAATAATAATAGTAATAATAATAATAATAATACACTTTATTTAAAGAGGGTAGCACGGAATAGTTACAGGAACTAGTAAACTTGTGGTACTCTATCTACATTAAAATTACAAAAAAAATAAGATTCCGAATATACAAATTCTAAGTACAAAATAAATAAAACTAAGGAAATATAGAAATTCTACATCAATATCAATGAGTATAAGAGCTAATGATATGGCTAGTGAACTATATTCAAGAATATAATTAAACTATGAAATGGTGTAATTCCTGCTGCTGTTTAAATAAGATATTTCGGTAATTATTCTTAAAGGATTCTATAGTGATACTACATTTCTAAATTCTAGACTTAAGCTGTTCCAGTGTTGGCAAGTAGAAACTGCGAACGTCCTACCGCCTTCGGTCACCCGATAAAATTTTTGGCAAATAAAATTTATATTACTATATCTAGTTACACGACTATGTTGCTGACTGTTGAGTCTTAAAGTGCTACTACGATCAAATTTGGGAATTTGTTTTTGATTACATATTTCGAAAATGTATGTAAAAGTGACTTACCGTGCCAAGTTTGGAGTCCAAATATGATCTGGAAGTGTGTTTATTTGCACGGCAATTTTCGTAAATGTCTTGCCGCCATTACTCGATTCAAAAAATGACCGGGAGTAGTATTTGAAGGAGTTGGGGCGAGATGTGACGTAGAAACATCAACGCCGCAAAACAAGGCAAACAAACGTGGCTAATTTCGCATGCAGGACGAGATATTTTTGGAAGCTTTTGGAGGTTCTTTCTTCGCTTTTTTGACTTAAAGCGAAAGTATGCCTGGTAGACGTTGTGTTGTTTAGGACTGTGGAAACGTAAAGAACGATGAATTGGGGATTTCTATTCATAATTCTCCTGATTCGGGCAGCGTTAGATTAAAGTGGAAAAGGTTCGTGTCGATTCATCGGAAGGATTTCAACCCAGTCGGAAAATTTGCTGTGTGATCGGAGCATTTTACAAGGGATTGTTTTACGCTTGCTTTTCCGATGAAAGACATGAAAAGGAATTTGAAGAAGGGGACGTTTCCAACCATTTGGAAAAAATCCTCTCAAACACTATCAAAGCGGAGTCGACGATCGGTGAGTGAAATTACAATGTATTTGCGCTGTGCTTATCACCATTATATTTATTTCCCCATTTACCTGTGACATGATTTTTTCTGGCATCGTTGTTCAATATTCGTGTAATGAATGCTCTGACTATTTGGACTTCCCATATTGTTGCATGTGTTTTCATACTTTTCTGCTTTCTTCTCATAGTTATAGTAAAACGGGCATTTGCGCTGAGTGGACGTGAAGTCAATTCCCCAATTCCCAGACCTTTCCACTCAAGCGTAAAATTTAGAAAAAGTGAAGCTACATAGAAATCCGGCTCTCTATTTTTTGAGAGATTATCTTGCTGTTACTTTGAGATTTGACAGTACTCCAAACTTCCCTCCAAGAAATCTTACAGCAAATTAAGAGTTACACGCGAGTCTTTTAAAACGACCAAAAATGGACTTAGTCTGATTTCTACATTCTATAAGTTCAGTTACTGTTTGCGGGTTTTTTTTTTTCGTTTGTATTTTAATTCTATTTTCACTGTCTGCAAATGATGCATACATTTTAAGGCAAAGATGTGGTTAAACCTTGCTTCCATTTCTAGTTTTGAAAACATCGACATAAAGCTCAAATTTAAACTTGTTTTGAAGGGGAGATATAAAAAATGGTCGTACCTATTTTCATTTTTAGCTACTAAATGAAATTCTGGCTGGTCAAACTACTAATGAGGATACAGAGGAAGAAGACAATCCTGAAGAAGAGGTGATCTCTTTGAAAGGAAGTTCTGCACCTGAGGAGAGTGCTGACACTATGGGGGCTCCCAATCTCAACCCTGAGGAGTCTCCAGAAGTCGAGGGTGTTCTGAATACAAGTCAGGGTTCTTTGCTTGAGGTAAATCCTGAAAAGGAGGGCTGCATCCCTGAGACTGAGACGGGTGAGATAAGTGTTGATGCTGAGATGGCTTCAGAGGTCCTAGGTACTCCTGGTGATAAGACAGCTCTCGAGAGCCAAGGGATTTCAGGCACTGATGAGGTTACTGAGACCATGCAGATCCTGGAGGCTCAGGGAATCGAAAAAGTGCAGGATATGGATGAAGTTATGCAGATTGATGAATCATTAACGATTCCTGAACTTGAACAGGTTTCTATGGTAGGCGCATAACTCTAATTAATGTTTATTTGCATCTTTGTATTATCATAACAATGGAAAACTACATGTGCAGTTATTTTACAACAATACTAAAACACAAAAATTCTAAAGTCTTGTTATTACAGCCTGTATTAATGTTGAAAGTTTGTTTTTTGTAGGATACTCCAACTGGACATGCTGGGAATTGCACAACATGCAAAACCCTGAGGAGTGAGGTGACTCAGTTAAGGGGCAAAGTCACAAGACTGAAGAGTAAGTTAATCTCCAATCAAGATCAGTGGGTTGAAACCTTTAAGAGCATACAAGAGCCGAAGCAGTTGCTGATGGTGAATGCTGGTGAGTCAACAATAATTGATGTTGATGAGTCATATAGGCATAACTGCCTATCTTTATATTTTTATTATATTTTATCAATATTTGATTATTTAATAATAATTAAAATTTTAATGGTGATAGAATTTTTTTAATTCCATTTGTTTAAGCTATTCAAACTGATCCATGGCCAGTAACAAATGAGACAGAGTTAGGGCTAGAGGATGAATCAGAAGATGAGCAGGAAATGCAGGACGACGCGTATGAGGAGTTTGAGTGTGATGAAGACCCTACATGGAGTCCTGAAGAAATCGAAGATGCATATAAAAAACTAAAGGAAGATGATGACTCGGTGAAGACTCATCAGAACCCAAGGTACAAAGATGCAAAATTTATTGCATTTTAACATCTTAGCTCTAAGTATCCTCTGGGAAGTGATTTAGGCCTAAAACTAACTTCCAGTATGAGAGGATCTATTTAGAAACAAGAGTACATGAAATTTGTTTTTTAATTTACTCAGATAAGAATTGCAAAAAAAAAAAAAAAAAAGAAGAGGCATAGCCAGCCCATAGACTGGAAGTCCCAGGCCTAAAAATGTTTGGTTTGTCCACTCAACCACTTGTAATAAATTATGCATCGTTGGGGTGGGCTAGATAGCTTAAGGGCTCAAAGTTGTCATGTGTGCAATCAACAGAATTATTATAAAAAAGCATTTTTCAGGATGTATGTGAGAATAAAATCCCAACCCACAATTAGCCAGGTTTACAACAAGTTGAAAAACTGGCAACACCCTGAGAAAAACAATAAAAATGATAATCATTTTTTTATTGTTATTTTATTATTTCAGATGCTATGATTAAATGAGTATTTCCTTTCAATCATTTTTTACAGGTTGGATCTACAAGGAAAAAACATTCGAGAGGAACCGAAGGGAATTGTTTTCCTTTCCAAACTTCTTCTTTTGTTTCAGTTCTGCCACTTGTGCTTCTTTTCAAAACCCAAACTTTCTGTATCACAGACAGGTACCTTGTTAACCGTAGAAAGTTTCTGCAGAAACTGTAGCCAGACAAAAGTCTGGAAGAGTCAACCAGACCTGCTAGGAAAGTTTCCAGCAGGTAACCTGCTATTAAGTTTTGCAGTGCTCTGTGAGCCGAGTGAAAAGAAAGAAACGATACATTAAAACTGTAATTAAATTCAGGCTGAATTCGATTTAATTTTTATTACTTGTGTACATGAAAATTGGAGCAACATCAGAATTCCCAGCCACTAAACTTGAGTTTAACTGAACGCTAGAAGAACAGGGCTTCACACAGTGGGCAAGTTTGTCATTCAACAAAAAGCGAGTAAGTGGCTGAGAATTCTGAAGTTTGGCCCATAAAATTAAGTGCTTACGGACAAGTATTCAAGCAACTACTGTAGGTCCTTCTTGGCCCCAATGGCATACATGACACTCTTCAAGAACAAACAGTGCATTTATTATTCATTTTCTTCATCTTCGAATCCACGATAATGGCCATTTTGACTCGGAAATTGTTTCCTGATTTTATTGTAGGCACAACAGGGCAAGGGGTATCGCCTGGAACTACCAATATAACTCCACAGCAGTCTTGTAAATTGGCGATAGGCCACAGACCTCAGGAATCTAGTTAGAGAAATGAGATCACTGTTAATTCAAGGAGGGATTGGATGGAGATAAATAAATACTCCTTTTAAAAATAAGCAGTTGGGGCAATAAAGCCATTTAGAAAATAAAAAATGTGATTCTATGAGATCAGTCCACGGCGATAAGCTTAGATGTATCAATTATTCAATGCTATGTAAGGTTCGATCGTTCCGATACAAAGTCAACAATACCCCAACTTACTCATCATCACTTTTGTTGCTTTGCCCACGAACAGTTGTGTACGACTTTCCAGCTCGCGTTTTTAGGCCCAGTGCAGCCACTTCTAATACGTGGCGGTTTAAGCAGACGCTTTCAAACCCTGGATGGAGGGTTATGCATACGGTCCGGTCTCCAATGGCTTCTTCCATGACCTCTTCGCAGCGATCGATCTCTTTGCAGCAAATGCACTCCTGCGCTTTTGTAACAAGGCTGACAGAGCAGTTCGAGCACGAACACCTGCAAAATAATGTGAAAAATTCGTCAAACACAAGAAAAATACGTCTGTATAAAATTATTAATTGTCTGACCTCTTCAATAAAACTATCGCATAAAATCAGGACTACAGCTAATCACATAGCAACGAAATTGTAAACTTAAACAAAACACATAGTCGCGTTCGTCACGCGCACGATTTAACGACGGGTATGTTGAAATTGGAAAATAAAAATATAAATCTACATTCCATGATAATACCATACCATTCATTCGCTGGCACCTCTCCCGAATATCTTCGTTGAAACTGTTGTTCCTCTTCTTCTTCGCGATGAACTCTTTCGTTGTAGTCCGCGGCTTCTTCCTCGGTAGCAAGGGGTTCGCAACTGTCGTCGTACGGCGCAAATTCAGACAATTCCCCAATCACTTCGTCAACTGTAAAACTTTCTAGATCACTTTCAGATGTGCAGGAAGAGGAATCCGACGGAGATGACATCTTAAACGTCTTGTTAAAAGGCTCTAAACTCACAAACTTTTCCCAAATGCGAATGTTTTGGTTGATGTTTCTACGTCACAGTGCATAAATCACGTGGTCAAACGCACGACCGCTTTGCGGAGATCTCGCGGGCTATTGTTTTGCGAACTTTGTAATGGCGGACGGTATTTACGCACTTTTCAGTGGGAAATTTCCAGCCCCCGTACGCAAGTATCGTTCCAATTTTTCGCTGTTTGTATAATTTTGAACATATACAAAAGATTTATGTTAAAAAAACTCGGAAACAAAAACAAAAATTTTCGTCGTAGTAGCACTTTAAGGACACTTCAATATATAAGGGAACTTCACCCTTGAAACGTTTGTATGCCAGACAACATTTAGCTATTTTCACTTCTTCACAAAAAGGAAGCCACTGTAGACTATTAAAAAGCTTAACACTAGACGCCTGGTTATTAGCGTCGGAAATTACCCCTGCTGCTCTCTTTTGTAGCTTAAAAACACGGCTTAAATTCTCCTTATCACAACTAGAACTGTTACAATCAGTTCAAACTGTTTCCATTTCCTGTTGCCTCTTGCTCTTCATCATATAAAGCAATAATCAAGATGAAAATTGTTTTTGTACTTGCTCTTGTGTTGTGGTAAACCCTAAAGGACTCGCATTTCTTCTTTCCTTCAAATGCACTGAGCTGAATGAGCAGGATATAACTACTTTACAAACGAACGTCTAGGTCGATTTAATCAATGGCAAAAGAGGATCCCAACACAGGAAAACCTGTTTCTAACATTTGTAATGTGCATTCACATTGTTATCATTAGCAAGAACTGTACCTCCTAGGGTAGTTGCTCCTGCCAAACCACGCCTCTGTAACATGGGTGTCATGTCTTTCCATTGGCACGTCGACGGATCAAAACATTCCACAGTATTTAATCGACTAGAAGCATCATAGCCCCCAATAGCATAAAGTCTGCTATACAAGGCAACTGCACTTAGGTATCGCCGCTTTCTTTTCATTGGCTGGAGGACAGATTAAGATGGTTGAAGTCAGAGAGTTTAGAAATCACGAAAAAATGTAACAGCTTTACCAGCAAAATATATTAACACTTCGACACAGAAAAACAAATTCATGTATGTATAAAATTCAATATTTGCAACAAATGTGATCATTTTTATAGCAAAACGGAACGTAGAAAGGCTGATCTTGAAATACAGAATCTGAAAAGAATAAAATTAATCAAATACCTCCCTGCTTGTTAAAAACACTCTTCAGTATGAGTTAAAGATGCAAAAGCGCCAATGCGAGTGATCTATCAAAGTACTCTGCGCGTTTTTTCCCCACCAAGTCTATCGCCACAAGGGATGCTAAAGCAACGACGACGGAGAAGACAACGGGAACGGCAAAAAGCAATAGGTTTAGATTGGCAAACAACAACTCTGCACATGCATCACGCTTTTTTGTACAATTCTTTGCCGTCACTGCACGACTAAGACGTGAAAATGCTTGATTTTAAGCTTTGTCAATCAGTAGGATTTTAATTGAAACGTCATTTATTTTTAAAGGTACCTTTTACGCGCTTTTGATGAGATTGCTTGTAACCGCAAAAAGCCTTTTTTGCTCTTTTGATAGGAACGTTTCTAAACCGCAAAAAAGGTATCTTTTTCGCGCTTTTGAAGAGATCGCTTCCACCTGAAAAAAAGGCACCTTTTTCGCGCTTTTGAAGAGATCGCTTCAACCTGAAAAAAAGGTACCTTTTTCGCGCTTTAAAGTTTTGTTTGGTAAAGTGAGAAATGGATGAAAAGCGGACAATATTGACGTTAAAATATTTTCACCCGAAAGCTTAAAATACCCGCCTTTTTTTTCTAAAAAGGCACCTTTTTTTAACTTCTCACATAATCGACTAGCATTAACAAAAAAGGTAACAATTTTGCATGTTGTTCTATGAAAAGTAAATGCAGAAAGTTAATTTTTCTGCTCTTTTCAAGTAGCAGAGTTGATCTTTTTGTAAAAAAGCAGAATTGCCGGAACCTTTCACTGATTTGACATCACTCAACACTCATTTTCAATAACTACAAGCTGTTGTAAGTCTGCCGATGCTCACCTGTACTATACACCACTGATTTGTAGCCGGATCATACTTTTCCACAACATCGACTGGAGACTGCAAATTTCCAAAACCTCCCAAGACGTACATTACTTCTGCAAGGCCAATACGCGACTTGGTTCTACTGTTATGCATCAAATAACGACACTCTGGCCTCAAATGATACCTTTTTGCCTCATCCACTAGGTCTCTGCAATCGAGGCTTTGCCTTATTAGGAGCTACAAAGTAAGACATAATTGTACTGTTACCAGTCGGCAGCAAGGAACTGGAGCTTTGTCTTGCTACTGTCAACATTCCGCTTTACACGCCAGCCGCTATTCTGTTCAAAATGCTTTACCTTCAGAGGTATAACAATTTTAAAATCCCACCCAGGATATAACTTTCAGTAGTTATATCTAAAAATCTTGTTAGACATCATGGATCAACTGACAGACCACCCATAGAGGGTGGCCCCTTAATACGTGGTCGCTTAATAGAGGTTGAACTGTTCAATCAACTGACGTGATACAACTCACTTTGAAAATGGAGACGACTCCCACACAGGTTGCTGAAACATTAGTCACTCTCAACAACAGTCCTATTCAGGACGATCATATTCTTCCTAATTATTAATGAAAAATTGTAATACCATCATCATCACGTCAGTTGTCGCCCTCGGAGTGGTTACAAGAGGATCCAACTGAGAGGGCTTTGACTGAGAAAAACTTGCCGTTCTAAGTAGATGGTCATTTAAGGTGGCTCGATAGGGTTTTTCATGGTCAACACCTCCCTAGTTTGAGCATAAACTATAAAGCCATTAAGAAAAATTTGGCAAAATTACCACCACAGTTGTATTAGATAAAAGATGGAAATTTGTTATGATCAGGGTTACAATGACATCGATATAATAATAATTATATATATGCTTGCAGCTTCTGATAATAATCAAATCCTTCTAGCAATCGGCTAGAGCGATCTCCATGGTCTTTCATACACGTTTCTAAAAAGAGTAAAACTACTATGAGTTGAAATTGCATTTCAAACACGGGCAAACATCAAGATTGTCCAGTTTTCAACGTATTTCTAACCATGAAAACTTCACCTCAAAAAATCTCCATAACGTTCTTACAGATTTCGCTTAACCTTTACGAACATCGAGGCGATCATTGGAAGAAAAGTTCCCAGCTGCAAGTAAAATAAGTAATGGCGTCATTTCGTTGCTATGGCAACTCCGATGTCATTATAACCCTGATCATATTTTCCTAGAGTGGGCACCCCGCATGTGTCTGAGTGACCCGTTCATGCCCATCCCTTTTGGGCTTTAATTATTTATGTTTGTAGATTTTCATTTTTTTTTTCGCTTTGATCTTGCCTAATAAAGCTTGACAAAATAATTTTCTTCTAATACAGCTGTAGTGTTAATTTTTCCAAATCTTTGTTAATGATGAAGTTGTTTATCCTCAAACTTGGGAGGGAACTGACCCTGGAAAAACCCTATCAAACCACCTTAAAGGACGTTGGTTCCAACTTTATTGCTTTGACTAGCCTGTGTAGCAAGCGTTTCCGTGCGGTTTAGGAGCAAAGAATGAGGAACAAGAGTCAAAGAACATGCCAAAAATAGACTATGAGTAGTCGCCTTTCTCGCGTGGGGTGATTTTCACGCGCGCTCGGGTTTCGCTCGCTCTACTATCTCTGAGGAAAAATGGGGACTACTCGTAGTAAACTCGAACTTTACGCGACAATCTACGCCAAAAATGACTCTCGTTCCATTTCTCGGTCTTTCTTTGCCCTGAAACCAAAAGGAAACGCTTGCTACGCAGGCGCAGGTTATGCTTTGACAGGCAAATTGCTTTTGGTGTTTTGGTGAGGTGGTGTCTTATGGGAGATGGAGGCTCGCCTGTAATTTGAAGGACCCCAGGTGTGTGATTTTCACTTTACTTAACACAAGTATATATAACTCACTTCATTGTCGACTGTGTCTGTTAAATAACGTGGGGTTAGGAGTGGCATGCGAACAAACTCCATCATTTTAGACAGGGAATCCTTTCTTTTACTTTCATCATGCTTTACCCAAGAAATAACAGCTTCAAAGACAGCTTCCTCAGATGGCACCTGCAGGCAAGCAAAAGAAAAAAAAAGGGACAACGGTGACAACAGTGACAAGAGTGACAACGGTGAAAACAGTGACAACAGTGACAACGGTGACAACAGTGACAACAGCGACAAAGGTGCAACAGTGACAACGGTGACAACAGTGAAAACGGTGACAACAGTGACAACGGCGACAACGATGATAACAGTGACAACGATGAATACAGTGACAACAGTGACAACGGTGACAACGGTGGCAACAGGGACAACGGTGACAACGGTGACAACGGTGACAACAGTGACAACGGTGCAATAGTGACAATAGTACAAACGGGGAAAAGTGACAACAGTGACAACGGTAACAACAGTGACAACGGTGCAACAGTAACAACGGCGACAACAGTGACAAAAGTGACAACGGTGACAACGGTGACAACGGTGACAACAGTGACAATGGTGACAACGGTGACAACAGTGACAACGGTGACAACAGGGACAACAGTCACAATGGTGACAACAGTAACAACAGTCACAAGAGTCACAACAGTGACAACAGTGAAAATGGTGACAACAGTGACAACGGTGCAAAAGTCACAACAGCGACAACGGTGAAAACAGTGAAAACGGTGAATACAGTGACAACAGTGAAAACGGTGCAACAGTGACAACAGCGACAACGGTGCAACAGTGACAACGGTGACAACGGTGACAACAGTGACAAAAGTGACAACGGTGAAAACGGTGACAACAGTGACAACAGTGAGAAGGGTGAAAACAGTGACAACGGTGAAGACAGTGACAACAGTGACAACGGTGAAAATGATGACAACAGTGACAACAGTGAAAACGGTGACAACGGTGAAAACAGTGACAACAGTAACAAAAGCGACAACGGTGACAACGGTGACAAAAGTGCAAAGCTGACAACTCTGACAACGGTAACAACGATGACAATGGTGACAAAAGTGAGAACGGTAAAAACGGAGACAATGGTGAGAACAGTGACAACGGTGATAACGATACCAACGGTGACAATGGTGCCAACGGTGACAATGGTGACAACAGTGACAACGGTGACAACGGTGACAACAGTGACAACAGTGAAAACGGTGACAACAGTGACAACGGTGAAGACAGTGACAACAGTGACAACGGTGAAAACGGTGACAACAGTGACAACGGTGACAACGGTGACAACAGTGACAACGGTGACAACAGTGACAACGGTGACAACAGTGACAACTGTGACAACGGTGACAAC